GTAATATAGAGTAATATAGAGTATTAGTGCATCACGTGATAAATCGTTGAAATTCCATTGGATAACGCAACAGGCACTATGAAGCAATAGTTAGCGGTAGCGCTTGCGCGACGCATTGTTATTATAACGCATTGTGTTTACGTCACGAATCTCCTGCGTCTGGGCGCCACGCAAGAGTTTCGAACGGCGGTTGTGTTTGTGTCGAACGTTTTGTTACATCGAATGCACCGGCAAATTAGGGAGTATAAAGAAGGTATATAAGCATGAAAAGTAGATTGCATAGTCATGTGATGCACTAAAAACAGTATTCCTTCCCTCAGCAACACTGAGAGCATAGTGCCCCCAACAGCAGGCATTAATATATAATTATAGAGAGGTGCGGCGTAGGCTGTGATTGGAAGACACAAAGTGTCAATCCTCGGCGCGCCTCGGCATCATGGCCGCATCACGTCAAGAGCGTGCTATAACAGGATCAAGAGCTGAATAAAGATCGTGCTGCTGCTATATCGCAATAGCAGTTTATGTGCCCTTGGCTGCATGTCAAGCGTTATGTCAGTGTATTCATTTAAATTGCATCGTCACCACCATAGAAATAGATAGATAATAGATAATAGATAATAGATAATAGATAGGTTATCTATCTATTTCTATGGTCACCACGGTCCGTGGAGGTTTCTTCATGTTAATTGTAATTAATATTTGAGTGGCTATATGGCAATACGAAACAAATGGCAAACCGATGCGTATACATTTTTTACAACATTTCATGTAATTTAGCAACTTATATCATAAACTAAACACGTTTTCAAGATTGTACGTCATTCCTTGAGATTATAATGTTCTCCACAAAGATAGCGTGGTTGAAAACCGAATTCGAAATCGCCCCCATAAAACGCATTAATTGCTGCCGCATCGATATCTACGCAATTCACTATGCGCAAACTGTTGAACGGTAATGCGATTAACGAGTAGCTGATTATTTATAACGATATTAATTAAAAGTCCTAATTGTTTAATTATAATAAATAGTATTAAATACCCAGAATACATGCGAAAATAATCACGATATATTGGGCAACAATGCACGATTTAATGGGATTTTTGGGTCTATGTAGGTCATAAAATAGCGCCATTAAATCAAAACGGGTTCGCGTCGTTGGAACACGAGATGCCAATCGCTAATTTATGCGCCTTATAATAATATATTATATAATAATAATATATTAGATTGACTATCTCTAATTTTGATCTGATTATCTCTTATTATCTAATTATTCTTTGAGGACATGATGTTGTGCGTTCATGTGAGAACATTGTCCCTGCAGGTGAAGGAGATTAGGGCCACCTACTCTAACGTACTGCTGCTGGACGCTGGTGACCAATTCCAGGGCACCGTCTGGTACACAGTCCATAAATGGCGAGTCGTGGACCACTTCATGAACCTGCTGCAATATGACGTCATGGTGAGTAGAAGAGGCGCGGGCAGCCTTCTGCTTCACACTGCCGCGGTGCTATATAGAAATCGAAACCGCTTACACGAGCTGGTCGTGACGATGTTATTGAGTGTATGTGTGTATGTGTGTGTGTGTGTGTGTGTGTGTGTGTGTGTGTGTGTGTGTGTGTGTGTGTGTGTGTGTGTGTGTGTG